AGGCATGGCTACGGCCAACCGGCTGGCGTAGGCCTCGCGGCGATCCGCACGGCGGCCGGCGATGAGGCAAGCGGTCATCCAGAAGACGAGGGCTTCCGAAGCCAGACCGCTGCTTCGGGCGGTTCCTTGGGCGAAGACCGGGGTCATGTTGTTTGACGGTTTTTGGGGGCTACCCTCCTCCAACTAACATGGAACCTGTGGGGAGGCACCTGGAAGATTAAATTCCTTTTGAAGGGACCCCCTGTTAGTTGCCATGTTAGTGGGAGGGAGGGTATCAAAGTCGGTAAACACATGAGGCCAGTAAGAATCCTTTTCTCCTTTGGAGGGGATTTCCCTTAGACAGACAAACCAGAATGTTCTTTTCTTGGATGTTCAGCCCACTGTATATATAGGTTGTAAGCGAGGTTACAACTCCGGTAACTGTGGCTAGTTGGCAGAAAGTTGGTTGAATTGCCGAGCACTTGGGGGTCCATGTCTTATTTCAAAGTTGTTAAACTATATATTGTATAATTTGCAGATGGGTCAATGCTTGGTCTTATTTTGCATTTTGAATCAAAAGGATGACTTGATTGAACATGTTGATCGTAGGTGGGTTGAACATTGAAGAACATGCATCGAGGGGTTGCTTGTGCCTTCAGAGACCTGTTTTACTTCTACCCATTCCATTCCGTGCCGGCATGTCTGGGTTGGCCTTTTATACCCCCTTGGCCCCGAACAGCAGAAAGTGAAGCCCACGCGTCGAAACTGAAACCCTGTTAAGATACCATTGCCAGACTGAACACACCCAGTTGACCTAAGTCGCTTTTTTGGTCTTCCATCTCTTGCCTGCAAAAAGCGGACTTTTTGCGGTTGGAGTCTGGCCCCAGCGATCTCTCTTACAGCGATAGGTGGAGTCCTTGCTGCTAAAGGTCTTGCAGGATTGCAGCGGCCCTTAGTTTGCCGCGGGGGGGGGGGGGGGTGTTACCCTTTGACAAGAAACGTCAGGGATGGATGCAAACAGAATCCAAAGAAAACGGTATTGTTGGAGGACCCCGAATTTGGAGACAAACCCTGATATTTCTGGACAGCTCTGTTTTACGAGCTAGCAGATTCGGGGTGAAACGAGTGATTTTGTCCACGATGAAGGCTATCTGCTTGGGAATCCCTTTTGTTCCGGTTTGGAAATTACTGTCAATGAAATGCAGATATGTCTGTTCTTGGCCGTTTGAACATCACACGGCATGCCATGGTGGGTGGGCCAGCCCGAGTCAACCATTGTATAATAATATTCAACACCCTTGCTTAATTCTGAATTGACTTACATCCGAGCTGCACTGTTGCACACTGGCCAAGCAGCTATCCCTTAGCTTCCCCTTTCTGAAGCCAGCGGACATTTCTGGTCGAATCAATATGTTGCATTGGTTTTGGCTGGCTGACGTTCGCTAGGTGCGAAGGGACGGAATTCCCAGGAGCTTGGGGAAGAATGCGGCTCTTGTGGTTGTCCTTTTGGTTTCCCTTAAACACCCTCAACCACAGGCCCTTCCCCAACCCTTCCACCGTCCCCCACCCCTTCAAAAAAAAAGGATACCCCCAACACAGGTCAGACCCAATGTGACTGTCCTTGCGCAGTTTCGTTTCATCTTCCGGGCGCGGTTGCCAAGGCCGGGACTGGTGGTGCCTGAGCGCGGCCATCACCCTGGCCTTGGCGCTGGCAGGCGGGGAGTCCGCTTCTCGAATCGCGCCGCTTGGCGTGGCTTGTGGCATGGACGTCTCCGGTGGAATCCACTTGTACTTGCCGGTGCTCAGTAGGGAATGTGGGAATGACCCCTATAAGCCATCCCTTTGGTTTCCTTTAAGGACCCCTGGTTCATTCCCACATTCCCTACTCCGAACCAGCAAGTTTAGGACTTGTTTTGGTGGTTGGAAGGCTGGGCTGTCTTCAGATCACAAAAGCTTGACTTGCTGGGATTTGATGGACGCCCCAACCACTAAACCAACTCGAAAACATGAAAAGCAAAAACCTAGGTTTACTGGATGGCTGGGAATCGCCAAGGGAAGCCCAGTCTGAACACCTGTGGTGAATGGCAAGTGGTGACTTGTATTTGCCCAGGAATATTGTTTCATGGTCCCTTTTTGGCTTGAAAGGGAACCTATCACTACTGGACAGACATAGTTTTTTGTTCCAGGGGGCGAGGCCGCAATGGAAGTGGACAGCTACATGCTCGGCCAAAAGGTGATCGCCTTTGAGGGCATCTGCGCCAAGCTTGGATTGGCCGTGCAGATTGAGCCCTTCTCCCTTTTTGTTTGTTTCCCCGGAAGGCAAAAAGGTCGCCGCTTATGGACCTGGAATCTTGAACTTGCAACTTGGGGAAACCAATCCATAGGTAATTAAGAGTCGCCTCTTTACAAATGGGGTTACCCTAAAATGAAGGGGGTACCCCTCCTTTTTATAGGGGTCAGAAGGAGACTTCCTAGGGAGTCTCAAACTGGGACCTTTCATATCCGCTGGGCCCGTGGCCCCTTGGCGGATTCACGACGTCTTTGTCTTCCTGGGGTCACAAGGCCGAAGATCGGTTCTCTTTGGTATCCTTTAAAACACTGCCCCAATCAGGGTACCTCTTGATTGGCCCAAACTATACAAGTCACTTGTCACTTCCTGTTGCTTTCGTGGTCACCACCTTGTGGCACGGCCAACTCTGGTGACTTGTTGGGATGTTTGCCGGAAGGAAATCTTTCAGGCGATCCTTGATTGGTGGTTTGGATTTGGATGGGTGAAAAGACTGCGGAAGCGACCCCTGAACAAGCAAGGGCCTGTCATTGCAAGGCTGTTTCCTGGTGGTATTGGGGTTTTGAGCCACTATTTGCCAGACCAAGGGCATCATTTGCGCTAATCATAGGCAGCTCACCTGGGGGAACACAGGGCTTACCCATGATGATGGTTGCTTAATTCAAGCTGCGCAAAACGCAACACATGGCAGTACATTCATGTCGGAGATTGTGCTTGGCATGTGTTGTCTATGTTTGCTGGGGTGCTGTGCAAAATTCCAAGCAACAAACAGTTTAAACACCAAGGCGCCATCCCCCCACCTTTGAAGTAGACTCTAGACCAAAAATGGTCACTTAACTTCCCCAGAATCAGTTCCTTTTTTTTGGGGGTTCCTTTTCTTTTCCACTACCCAGCCAACAAAAACACAAAACAAACAAAAACGATACTTTTTGCTGGGGTCCTAATTCCAGCCTAGTTAGCGCATTTGATAGGTCTTGTGGGCGGGGGCTTGTGGTGGGGGCCACGCCGCAGAACCATGGCAAACATACACTTTGAAACACCAAAATAAAGTTGGACACCACCATTTACTTTTGGCAATGTTCAGGTGTATAATGCATCCGGATCCCTGTTTTCTTCGATCTTTCCTCGTCGCGTGTGTTGGCTCGCAATACTGTGGATGGACAAAATCCTGCACCACTTGGAAACCATGGGAAACCATTTTTTGTTGGTATTCACAGGGGAATCATCATTCTAGGGTTTCTTGTGTGGTGCAGGATTTCGTCCATCCACAGTATTTCGGGCATCCACCCAGAAGCATCCCAGAAGCGGCTGTCTCACTGCCAGGTAGCGCCAAGACGAAAGCCTGGGAGGTGTTGCTGGACTGGGGATCTCAAGTCGGAGGTCCTCAGAGGCCCCAAATGGCCCCTCCCACAAAATGAATCGCCGGGACCTGACGTTTGGGACCCGGTCCCTTTGAAAGGAAAATTTGGTCCAACCAGGAAGTTGGGAAGCTAATCCAAACTCAGAGGGAAGCTAACACACCAACAGGACGCCGCCTTTTTTGTTTCGGGGTAATTACTCCCCATGTTCACCACCCACGCCTTCAATCCCGACACCCGCGGGTTTGCCCAGGGCCCAAAAGACCTTGACCTGGCCATGGGTCAAAACCAGGAAACCCTAGTGAACATCCCAATCCCCAGTAAAATAGACTCTTAAATAGACTAAAATGGGTGCTGCACCTCCCCCCCAAAATGGTACCATTGGTTTTGACCCACAGCACACTGTCTCCGATTCAATCCGATTCGCAACCGCACCGTGTTCTTTTTTCACGGGCCCACTGAAAACGAAGATACGAAGGGACCGGTTTGGTTTTCCCATTTTAGCGTCAAATAAGACGGTCGGACATGTTTAGGGCCCAGGAAGTGAGCTTGGCCCAGAAAACACCCAACAAGAGCTAAGGGACCATGCAAGCAGGTGCTCTGATCTGGTGGGTGATTCAGGGCGCCTCAAAAGAGACGCACAACTTGGCCATCCTTTTCCACACCAAAAGGAAGCCACCATTTTAAAAGCTACTATTCAGGTGGACCAGTGGTACTCTGAGAATTCCCCCCGTTACTTCATTTCCAGGCTGCCCGTGCAGGGCGCGAGTGCCACATCGCATCACATGTCAGTCAGCCAGCTGCTGAACATCAAGGAACCTCTCTTTGGGGTTGCGACGTTTGGAGTCCCCAAGCGCAGAAGTCAAACGCAAAGACAAGTTGGGCGACAAATTGTCCCAAAGGCGTCACACGGGTTTCAACTGGACGAAAGCTGCAAAGCCATGCATGCCTGCGCATGTCCTCGCGCGCTCAATGGAATTGGGGAATGTGGCTGAGGGCTGGAGTTTCGATGTACCTCTATTTCATTCGTTCTCTTGCGGGGAAGGCCGGGCAACTGGGTCAGACGCTTGCTACCATCTTGCCCTCTGAAATGAGTGACAAAGACACTATTAGCATCACTGGCCTATGATTAAACAATCATTTGACCCAACGACGATTTACCCTCCCTCCAATGATGGAAGCTCACAGGGGGTTTGGGAAAACTACTTTCGTGGACAAACTCAGTTGTCCAAAAAAGGCCTTTTAACCTTTTTAGTGTCCGCTTTTCTGGTCCATTTTATGAGGTCCCGAAAGGTGATCTTGTATTGCCAGGTCCGAACTGGGCAACTGAGCGAAGGGCAAGTCCTGGGCCTATAGGGTCACTTGCATGTTGGAGAGGAGACCTTGACCCCCTGAGTGTCGGATGGCATGAGCAATGGAGCCTCACCCACTGCTCACGGTGCCCGGCGCTGCAAGGGACGAGGACGGGGGGGGGGTTTTCGCTTGCGGCGAGCATGTGGTGTTTGTACCTGTCCCCAAGCCTTTCCTTGGTCCCCCAGTGCCCTTTCTCACCGTTTCTTTTTGGTTGGGAGGGTTTCCCTAAAATAGACTACAGAAAAACAGTTGGTACCCTTATTCTAACCTCTCCACTGGAGGACCTAGTTTTGGGAGGGGTTTCCCCTTAAAGTCAACTATCAAAAAAGGATGGTAGCCCAGACCTTGCCTGATGACCCTTTTTTGTTGTTGCGGTGTCCCTTGAAAGTCAACTGCCAACAAAAAAGATGGAATAGTAGCCCGGACCTCCAGTGACTCCAGTGGTGCCCTTTCAGCTTTATTTTAGATGGGTGTCTCTTTATAGTCAACTAGCTGGAATTTTCATGATTCTGCCAGTTACCAGTATCGTATGTAGGGCAACTTGGGAAAGGGAAATGCGTTGCTTGCCAAAACAAGAGTGCGCTTTTTCCCATGGAAATCCACTCAAAGGCTGGGTGTGTCAATGCACCAGGGAATCAACTCCGGCTCCAGTCCCTCAAGGATACATCTGGGAAGGAAAACTCACCATGCGAAGTGTCTTGAAGTAAAACCTTCTGTGTTGGTTGTGTCATGCGAGTCTGTTTCGGTGTGCAGTCCATGTCCCCTCTCAAGTTGAGGCGAACTTCCCTAAAAAACAAAGGCAACAGAAGGGAATGCTCGGGAAAAAAACAGCAACAAAACTGTCCTTATGCCACGGCTTTTTCCAGGGCTCCCTTTGTTTCGCCTTTGGGCTAGTTTTGAACCATCAACAGCGTGCTTCCTCTTTGTTAGGTGATTTTCACAGGTTCGCATCAAGTTGACCCTTAAAGCCAAACCCAACAAATTACCAACTCAGAAGACATGCCCAGTTAGTTGGAACCCTGTCTGTTTGTTGCAGGTTGGAAGTACAGGTAACCCTGGCGTTTTTCATTAAAACAAAAAAACTCAAGCTCTTTGAGGGGCCTCCCCCCCCACACGCCGGAGGCGTTCTTGTGACCCAGCAGCTCAGAACTGGCCAAGACTCGAAGATTCGGCCCTACCTCCCGCTACAAACCCCGGTTCTACCGTGGTTTCCCCCAGTTAGGCCCTTCACTTACAGCCTTAACTTATCTTTTCTTAGTTTTTGGGTGTGAATCGCCGCAGAGAGACCTTTTGTACTCCAAGGGCATGCAACAAACAAATGGTGGTCGACCTTTATCAAACCTATTTTCTCATGTTTCCCTGCAGGGGACGAACAAAACAACAAGAACCCAAGACCTCCTTTTGGGAGGCGAAAGTCAGCTGCTTGGCGGTTTCCCTGGATTGAAAAAACATGCCCAGTTGCAGCCCTCGGTAGGAGCCCTCACGCCACCTGGCCATGGGAAAAAAGGGCACCCATTTTAAGGTTGGTTGACTTTAAAGGGGAACCCTTCCCAAAGCAAAAAAGGACAAAAAAGGTACCACTGGGCAGATTCGTGAAGGATCAAATATTTGGCCAAAAGTAACAGCGTGTAGCCGTCAAGCGCTACGCCCTCCGCCGTGCTCCGAGAGCCGCGGAGGAGGGCCGTTTGGACGCCTCGCAGTACCACCAGCTGGTGGCTAGCTTCCGGCAGAGCCACTTGACTGCTATTGGGCAACGGATCTTTAAATTTTTACTTCTTGGTTGAAATCAAGGGTTTTTTCCCACCAAACGCCCAAAAAGTGAAGAACTTTTTGCAGAGGCATCAACAGCAACCAAGCATCATTGTCCCTGTTGTGAACCCTTGGCCACAGAAAGTGTCAACACATGGTGCAAGCAGACTTTTCCTAGCACTCCCCAAACCCCCCCAACAGTTGAGAACTTTTTGCAGGGGGGTCCATCCAGCAACCAAGGCGAGGGGGAGAAGGCGCTGCGGGCGGAGCTCCACTTTGACCCCAGCAAGCCAGGCTCGGGGCGCGGGATGCGGGATGTCGGATGCGAAAGGGGATGGGATGCGAGAAGCGCAAAGGGGGGGTTTGCAATTGAAACCCAACAAAAACATGGATACGAAAATGGTGTTCCTCTTGGTTCACCTTTAACCGTCAAACAAACGGATACTAGAATGGTTGTCCTCATGGTGTTTGCCTTTAGGCCCCTCAAGCAAAGTTGGGTACACTCAAGACGAGACAACCCCCACATTGTGACATGAAAAGAGAAATCAAATGGCTACACCGTCGGGCTTCCCAGAACTGGGGCGGTTCGGAACCAGCGCATCGTCCGGGTCCAGAAAGGCTCGGCAGGTTTTTAGCTGAAAGGTGGTGCCCACTAAAAGCAAGCTTTCCCACTAAAGGATCTGAGGACCGCCCAGATAAGCCAAGAGTGTAGTGGTGTTGTTTCGCAAGCTAGTGGGCATATCTTGCATTTTTTTCCAGGGAACTTTAGCAAATGGAGAGGGAGTAATGATGTGGGTGGACGAACTCCCGCTGTAATTCCATGGGAAACTATTATTTTTTGGTGTTTATCGCGGGGAATCAAATCATTCAGGGCTTCTTAGGTTCAAAAAGGAATTCGCCAATCCACAGTACGGGTGGCTCGTCATTTTTTGGGCGACCCCCCCCCCAAAAAAAAAAAACAGAGACGCAAACACATCCCCCCCCACAAAAAGAAAGAAGCAACCACATCCCCCTCAAGAAAAGAAAGAAGCAACGACATCCCCCCCCCTCCCGATTCAAAAAGAAAACGCACACGTCCCCCTCCCCCCATTGAAAAAGAAAACAATCACATTTCCCCCCCCTCAAAAAGACAAACAAAGAGGAAAAAACAACACATACTGACCCCCCCCCCAAAAAAAAAAAAAAAACACATCCCCCCGCCCCCCACAAAGAAGAAAGGGGCAAACACATCCCCCCGATTCCCCCCCCTCAAGAAAAGAAAGAAGCAACCACATCCCCCCCCTCCCGATTCAAAAAGAAAACGAACGTCCCCCTCCCCCCATTGAAAAAGAAAGCAATCACATCCCCCCCCCCCTCGTCAACAAACACAAACAAACAAGAAACATCAAACACATACTGACCCCCCCCCCGCCCCCAAAGAAACAAAAAAAGCAGAGCAACAACCACGCGGTTTTGGGATTTGTTTTTCTTTGGGCCTGGGTCCTGGCAGGCCTGCGTCTTGGCGAGGAGCTGCCGAGTGGACTTCGGACCTGGGACGATGCCAAGGTGAAGAGCGCCAAGGGGGCCCTGACGCTACGACTTTGGCGAAGGGGTACCTTCCGTTTCTAGTTGTTGTTTTGTTCTTTTCTTTTTTTTTGGGGTGGGGGGGTGGGGGTTGTGTGGTTTGATGTTTTTTTTCGTTTTGGGGGGGGGAGTTGGTGGTTTGATTTGGGTACTTCCCTATTCTTTGGCCAACGAGGGTGGCGAACGTGTGACCAAGGAACTTCTGATTGGGAACCTATCAAGGGGGAATGATTTTTCGGAAAGTGCCGCCTGCCTGGGTTTGACCAAAGACTTTGGCGACGGAACTTCCGAACCCCGGAGGATTTTTTCAGTAGCACAGCCTGGGCTTTAGTGGGGATGGATCCTGGTACATAGGATTATTTGAACCACGGAGATTCTCTCAGTAGTACTGCCCTCCCACCATTTGGTCCCGGAAGAGAATGTTCCTTCTGATCGGGAACCCCCGGAGTATTTTTCGGTAGTGGAGCCTGCCTGGGTTTAGTGGGGATGGAGACCAAAGACTTTGGCGAAGGAACTTCTGAACCCCCCGGAGTATTTTTGGTAGTACAGCCTGGGTTTTCGTGGAAGGAACGAGAACCCAGGAGTAATATCTCTCATTAGTACAGCCTGCCTGGGTTTCAATCGGTGTTATGTTACTGGGCATGGACCGTGGTACATGTGGACAAATATAGACGCGTCCTATCTCTAGGACCCCTGGTTTGGCGGGGAAAACCACGAAACTGGAACACTTCCCCGTTTAAAATGCAGGGGTTCATGAATCCGGGGTCAACCTTGGGGGGCTTCAATGCCTCATAGCCCGGAAAAATAACCATTATTTCACTGTTCTTGGCATGTTGTTTGGTTTTTTAGTTTGTTGGTTCTGTTCATTTTTACTGGGGGTCTGTCAATCGTGTGCCTTCGCTTGGAGATGTTCGTCAGCAGATTGCAGCCGATGTGAATCCGTTTGCCCAGGGGCTCAGGTTTAGGGGAAAGACCTTAGAGGGCGTGGCGCCACGGGGAAAAGGTCGCGGAGGAGCTCTCGGTAGGCGAGGTCGCCTGGGGATTTACATTGGTAGCGGAGCAGCTTCAGTCTCAGGGAGACGCTGCCGGCGGCCTGGACGATAGGCCAGGGAGGTGGAAAGAAACCGGAGGTCTGAACGAGAGACCAGGTGCAGTGGCTTTTGCAGTTGGGTGATTGCAGTTTTGAGGACCGCATTCGCTGGTTGCAATGGCGCAGGGAGAAACAGGAGGGGGATTCACAGGGGTTCCCACGCAGATCGCGCAGCTCGTGCCGAATTTCGACCCGAGCCGTGGAGAGAATTTGGAGACATGGTCGCAGAAGGTGGAGTTGGTGGCCAATGTCTGGCCGAAGGACAAGTACCCGGAGCTCATCACCAGGTTGATCTTGGGTTGCAGTGGATCAGCCTTTCAGAAGCTTCAGTTACAACAGGCAGAGCTCAAGACGGGCGACATGGAGGCGGTGAAGAAGATAATTTCCATCCTGGGAGGCACTTGGGGTCAAGTGCCATTGGAGAAGAAGTTTGAAGCCGCCGAGCGAGCCTTATTCAAGATCACTCAGAAGGGAGATGAGACAAACGACTCCTACCTGGCCAGAGCAGATGTGGCATGGTTGGAGATGTTACAGAAAGGGCTCGACATCAAAGAGCTCCAAGCCTATGTTGTTTTGAGGAACTCTCAACTCGCACCCGAGGACAAGAAGCGCGTTCTCGTGGAGAGTGGAGCAGAGGCCGGCAATGTCCTTACCATGCCGAAGGTGAATGCGGCAGTTCGGATGTTGGGCACAAGTTTCTTTCAGGACTACACGGGCATCAAGAAGAGTCGCAACAAGACCTATGATCAGGCCACACTTCATCTAGAAGATGCCGGAGAAGATGAAGGGGAAGATGCAGATGCCTTTCAGATGGAGGGTCTCACAGAGGAAGACATTCAGGAGCAGTTGCGGTGTGAAGGAGATGAAGATGCAATTCTGGTGGCTCAGTTTGAGGATGCGGCCACCGAGACCTTGCAAAATGATACCGAGCTCGCCGCACTGTTTTCCACATATCAGGATGCCCGCAGACGTTTGGGGGACAAGGCCAAGTACCGTGGTTTTTGGGCTCCTCGCAAAGGCAAGGGCAAGTCCAAAGGCAAATGGACTTCCGGCAAGGGACAAGGCAAGAAGACCTTGTCACAGCGCATCATGGAGTCCAACTGCAGGTTGTGTGGGCAGCGTGGTCACTGGAAACAAGAGTGCCCGAACAAGGGACAGCAGTCAGCCTCCAGTGGTCAGTATCCAGTGTCATTTGCCGCATCCGGAAGTGAACCCCAGCACAACACGTCGGAAGCCCTCATGCAGATTCCAGAGATCGCCCTGAACTTTCAGGACTCATCCATGTCAGATTTGTGTTCAAAGGAGGTCCATGAGGTTTTCACAGCATGTCACACCACAGTTTCCTGGCCCGCACGCAGGAATCTTAGAGAAGTGATCCGCCGAAGAAGTGAAAAGCAGGAGCCACCGTTGATTCCAGCCACTTCCCAACACGCCTCCAACACTGAAGTGATGGAAACGTTGTTTGCGTCACATGGAACCAAAGGTGTTGTGGACCTCGGAGCCTCACAGAGCGTCATGGGAAGTCGGCAGGTGTCAGAGTTTTTGGATGGGTTGCCGAAGTTGGTACGCCAGAGTGTCAGAAAGTGTGCTTGCCGCATGGTGTTTCGTTTTGGAAATCAAAGCACCCTCACGAGCCACACCGCACTCATGGTACCAATCAACAAGCAGGGGCTGTGTGTGAAAATTGCAGTTGTAGAAGGCGGCACACCATTTCTCATTTCGAATGCATTGCTGTGTTCACTGGGAGCTGTCATAGACACAGGTCGGCAAGAAATCACATTCCAGAAACTTCAGAAAACAGTGACCGTGCATTTGTCCAGCCGAAATCTGTTTCTGCTTGATTTCAATGACATATTGCCAGATGACCTGAGTGACACGGCCCTTATCAGCCATAGCACAATAGATGCTGCACCGCCCGCTCCGTGTGAGCTGAAAGTCAGAGTGAGTGCAATCCAGATTGAGCCTTTCCAGACCGTGAGCCCCTTGAGCAAATGTAGAGGTGAGTTGCCAAGTGATAATGCGAATCTGAATGATCAGTGTGCTCAAGCCAGTGTGCAGGGTGTCACCGACCACGAAGTGAAACGTCCGAGAGACACCAATGTCGCTAGCACTGGCCGACCGCCTCAAGAACCTTCAGAAGATGATCCAGGAAGAGACACAGCCACCAGTCGAGACTCTCACGAGGGACGAACTGGAGCACGAGAAGATCGCATTTGGAGCGGCCAAGAAGGGACAGTCATTTGCCAAGGCATTCAGCGACCTGAAGTGGACCAGTTGGTTTGTGAGCCACTACGAGGGGTCCAGCAAGCGCGAGCACCAGACGTTCATCCAGTATGTGCATCTGAGGACGTTGGAGATGGAGGAACAGCCCAGTCAGCTGAAGAGAATGGCAGTGGCATTGAAACAGAGTCCCAAGGATCAGATCACCAAGTGGGAGGAGGACGAGGACCAGTGGCAGATCCCGCAACAGGACCAGTCTCAGGGAAGCCAGACCGACTCGGATGTGCAGGCACTGCAGAGCCGGATGTGCAACATCGAGAAGGCCTTGCAGGAGGTGATCCAACACCTGCATCAGCGGGACCGGCTGAAGGGCACCGAGACGGACATGTGAGCGCATCCGAGAGTGTGCAAACAAGCCACATGCCACCAGACAATTTCAGACAGCATACGCCAACAGTCAGTGATCAACAGTGGCATGATGCGCTTCATACGGTTCCCCGGGAATGTTTGCACAGCATGCCAGTCGACAGGTCCCTCACTCCGGCCGGAAAGATTCGGACCTGGGTAAATCAATTCAACAAGGAATTAGAGGAAACCCGTCAGAGTGTTAAGGGATCGCCCATTAAGTACCAGATTGACGTTCTTGAAGTGTTTTGTAGCCACCAAAGCCAGATCACTCACCAGGTCAATCAATTGGGAGGCAGGGCAATCCGCATGCATCAAGGGAGTGCTGATCTGAGCACCACCTCCGGGCGTCGCACATTGTTTCAACACCTGGTGCAACGGAAGCCGAAGCATGTGTGGTTCAGTCCGGTGTGCAAGGCCTGGTGCAAATGGTCACAGTTCAATGCCAGCCGGTCGCTAGAAGCCTGGGAGCAAGCGTGCCAGAATCGTGCAGATGCGTGCTGGCAAATTGCCCTAGGAATCGTGCTGGCAGAACATCAGGTTCAGATGGGTGGACATTTGCATTGGGAGCAACCAGAGGGATCCAAGATGTTTGATTGCCCTGAGATGAAACCGGTGCACCAGAACACGAAGTCCTGCCGTTTTGACATGTGTCGTGTCGGTCAGCTTTGTGATCCGGAATCCGGAATGCCAATTCGAAAGCGAATGAACGTCCTGACCACAGATGATCGCATGTGGCAGATGCTTTCGAATCGGTTCTGTAACCGAGACCACTCACATCAGCAAGTCCAAGGAAGTGTGGTCACAGAGACTGGCAGGATGAATCGGTCCACTTTCACTGAACAGTATCCACGGAAGTTCGCCCGTCAAATAGCAAAGTTGTTGATTCAGTCAGCATTGCCATCATCGGTCACTGTGGCAGATGCATTTCCCGTGCAGTCCGAGCGTCCGGCCAACAAGCGCCAATCCGAACCGGGGACGGGCACGGCCGTAAGTGAAGCCGTTAAAATCCTGAAGAAGCGGAGGATTCGCTTCAAGATCCGTCGTCCCCGGGAATATCCCGAGCCAGAGACTCCAGAGTCCAGCAAACGACCCAGAATTCAGGCAGATCCGAAGGAAATTTGGGAGCCGATTTTTGAGTTGGCCCGTAGGAGTGCACCTCCAAGGGAAAGACAGGTGATTGAGCAAGGAGCCTTGTTTGATGCCGTGCAAAGTGCTTGGAATGATGCCCAACTAAAATACGTCATGGTGGGTAGAGGGGTCAGTAGACATCAACCACTTGCCAAGGAA